CCTAAATTTTCTCTATTTTTTTATCATTAAGATTAATATTTTAAGAATAACCAGAATAATCCCACAAGACTTCTCTATTTACTTCAAACCATCTGAGAAAAAATCATTGTGCAATCAGTCGCTTCGTATGCGCATCACGAAGGAAACTCAACTGTGTACGACAAGCAAGAAAAAATCCAGAAATTAATGATTTTTCGGTTGTGTGGGACGAGGTGAGAGCCGAGGCAACGCAACAGTAAGATGAGGAAGCCTCAAGATTTCTCCACCAAAGGCGATAACAGAATGATGAAATTAAGAGGAAAAAAAAATCTCAGAAGAATAAAACTGAAGCCATGTGGATTTCTTAAAATCACTGGAGCCCCTCTTCACCGTTTGTAGTCACTTCCTGTCGTGTTTTTCAAGCGTACAATAGGTATCAGCGAAATTCCAAATATTTCAAATATTCATAGCACGGCAAAGTATCACCGGATATCCGGTTATCTTCAAATGCTTTTTTATCGTTTTCTTTTTTCGCTATTTCAGAGTACACATTGTACAGCCTTGATCAAACGAGTTTTTTTGCGGCACAAACAAACGAGATAAAAAATGTGTCACGGACGTTTCAGTGTGCTTTGATAGTTCTTCTCAAATCTAAGGCCAAACGTTCGAACAAAATTTCTGGTTTGGAGTGGTAAAACGTAGAGACTTGCTCGGTTAATCATGAAATCATCTCCTCCACTGATTCCAGGAGAAATTGTGACAAGAAAGGTTTTGTATGGAGAATTTTCTCAACTACAGAAAAGGTGGAGCGACAATATTTGCTAGATATTTAAAATAATTCTCTTTAAACTCACTTTAAGATTTATTTGTTAATGCGATAATTGTGTCGGTCATAACTTATTTTCTGAAGATTTCAAATTTGTCAAGGAACATTTTCTGCGTCTAATTTTATTAGTTGTTTGATCAATGTTCGATCCATTACACGATTTTCCGATTGATAATCAGATCATGTAGATGATGAATATTTTCAGGAGTAAATGCTAAAGCAATTTTTAGTGGTAAATTTTTCTAACTACAAAAAAGGTCCTTCAACATTTTCTTCTCAACCCACTCATTTCTAAGATATTTTGAAAGTAATCTGAAATGTTGAGGGAAATTGTCAGACAACATTTTTACAAGAAACTCTCTCAGCTACAAAAAGGTTTTTTGATATTTTTTTGCCAAACCACTAGCAGTTTCCGCGATAATTCAAAAATGTTCTGAATCAACTTTGCTCACTCATCTCACGACTCCTCGGTTAATGATAAAATTATCTGGGTAATGAATGATTTCAGAAAAAAAAATACCGAAAAATCTTTTCAATGAAACATTTCCCCAGCTACAAAAATGGTCTTCTAACATTCTGTTCTCAACCCACTAATTTCTGATATATTTTGAACGAATCTGAAACGTTCAAGGAAATTGTCAGACATTTTTACAATGAAGTTTTTCAGATACAAAAAAAATCTTGAGCGTTCCCTCTAAAATCATTTGTTCCTGCGAGAATAGCAATGACCATGGTTAACTGAAATCTTATTTACCCCTTCGATACAGAATTTCAAATTAAATGATAAAATAAAATATACTTTTAAATACTCCCGTAAATGCTACAAAACCCACGTAGCGAGGATAAAAGTCATTAAACGATAATAATCTCCGGGTGAAAAATTGTTTGAGTAAAGTGCCAAGTTATTCAAAATAAAAAAATTGAAAGAATTTCCTCATGAATCTTTTCACTAAACATCACGTTCTGAAATATTTCCCAATCAAAAATTTGGTAAAGTGGAGATGGAATTATTGTGACGAGTGAGACACTTTTATATCATTCATCAGAAATGGTAAAGGATAAATCCATGCGGCATATACTTGAGTTTTTGCAGAATAGCTCCGCATCTAATATAAGGAGAATAGCTAAATTTTCGTAGAGATCCTTTTTTATAGTCCCATCAATGAAGGTGTTTGGACCCTCGCTAATACGACGGTGTCATAAAAATTGTCAATCGATGGTCAAAATTGTCCTGAATAACATAGCAAAATGTTTAGAGAATGTTTAAACGATGTATGATTTAAATTAATTAAAAACCATCGTTTTTCCAACTGTTAGTGCCAAAAACACCAATATTTTCCGCGCAACTCAATCAATTCCAAAACAAAAAATACCAGCGTGTAGAGAAGAAAATTATCTATAACTTTGATGTGGAAACCGATATTCTATAATGCATTGTTGTTCTCTCTATATTATAAAAATCCAAGTCGACTTCTAGTGATCAAAATTAAGACTTTGAAATTATGGGTTACAAGGGTCATGAGGGTCAAAGTAAGGGCAACAAGGATGAGATTAAGGCTTATGTGGCTCAGATTAAAGGTCTCAAGATTAAGGGTCACAAGGGTCAGATTAAGGCTACAAATGGGGTGCAGAAACTAAGGGTCATGAGGATTTCAATATCTCTCTGTATTCTAAAAATCCAAATCGACTTTTGGTGGTGAAAATTTGGTGCTCAAAATTAAAACTCCAAAATTAAGGGTCAAAGAAAATTAAAATAAATTAAAGGTCAAAGGGTTACGCGGGGTATAATGAGGGTCACGAGGGTTAGATTAAGGGTCACAAGGGTCAGAACAGGGATTATGGGGGTCACATGGGGGTTGGCGAGCGGAGCGAGCCGGGGGCCTAGCCTTCTAGTACATAAAAAAATTCAAAATCTCTCTTACCCGAATGATGCCAAACGATCAGCTGATCGCCTGTGGCTGCGTGCGCAGCTCACTCGACGCTATCGAGGACAGCATCGTTCAGGGTAAAAAAAACTTCGAGATTTTTTCATGTGAAAACAATTCATTGTTGAACTTTGGCTCCCACTTTAAATTTATAGAAAATTGTCTCCTCCACACGCTGGTATTTTTTGTTTTCCAATTGATTGAGTTGAGCTGAAGTGCTCAGTGTTTTGGCGATAAACGTTGAAAAACCGATGGCTTTTAATTAATTTGAATAATACGCCGTTTGAACATTCTTCAAACATTTTGATATGCTATTCGGAACCTCTTTTGCCCTACGAATGACAATTTTTCGTACACAGCCGGATAATCATGAGATTTCACATTTTTATCGGCTTAATTGACTGGACTATTAGCTCTTATTCCGTTCCACAAAAATGTTCTAAAAAATTTCTCTGTCTTTCTTGGAACCAGAGATATTTCTCGAAACCTCAACTGGGAGATAAGTCGACTCTATCATTCCGCTACTGAATTCATAGCATTTTAGGTAACGTCTGAATTTTAAAAAACACCAGAGTGAAAGTAAACGCTGGGTTTCGTGACGTTCGCATTCTCAAGATACTTCAGACTTGTTTTTTCTGACATTTTTTTTCAAGGAGAATATGCAAAGAGATTATTTTATCATTAATGTCGCAACGATTTTTGAAGGTTTGAATCAATTGATTACCTGAAAAAGTGCGTTGTAATCATAATAAAATCATAAAGATTCAGTAGCGAGATGATAAAACATCATGTCAATTTTTTACATCTTGTTAAGTATGGAATTATCTCAGTAATGGGTGGCCTCAGGAGAAGATATCAAGAATCATTTCTTGTTGGAAATTTCGGTAGCTACGAAAACGATCTTCTGACATCGTCTTCTACAATCACTCATTCCCGAGATGGAGGAACAGTTAAGTAGAATTCCATTGAATCCATATTTACAATAATGCGAGAAAAATCTTTAAAAATATGAAACAAATATTTTACACATGTCAACGAATTGTTATTATATGTTATTACATTTCGAAGTCAGAACTGAACATCGCGAAATCATTGAGAGGAACAAAATTCGATGAAGGATTGCTCTTACATCTTTTCCCAAACGGTAAAATATCATATGTGACAAATCAGTAAATACTAATCAATATTCCGAAACGTGTTCCACATTTTTTTATATCGAATTTCAAAAAAAAAATCGCCCAATAAATTATTTTCGCAAAAATAATCCAAAATTTTTGGAAGGTTTGAATGAATTGATTGTCTAAACGAGTTCGTCGCAATCATAATAAAATAAAATGAAATAATAAAGCTTTGGCAGCGAGATGATAAAGTATCATGTTAAATATGGAATTATTTCGGTTGAATGCCTTTAGGAGAAATCGTTAAAAGATACTTTCTGTTGGAAATTTCGGCAGCTACACAAAAGATCTTTTGACGTTTCCATCTAAAACCCCTCATTCTCGAGCAGTACCACAAAATTCCACTGATTCTATGCTTTTAATAATCCAAACCCAACTATTTTGAAAATAAAAATCTCTGTAAATATAACAAAATCATTCTAGATATGTAACGAACACTAAAAAATTCTCCGATACTTTTTCCACATTTAAAAGTATGACCTAAAGATAGCGAAACCATTCAAAGAAATGGAATTCGATAAAAGATTCCTTCAACGAGGACTTACGATACAATCGTGGCCAAGACCTCCGCAGAAACAGTAAAACATCATATCTGGCATATCGATCAATATTTCGACGCCTTTTTCATAATTCTCAATGGCAAATTGCATGAAAAAAATCCTGGAATGATAAATGCTCCCGAAAAAAGCACAGAGATGTCGACAGAATTAAAGAAAAATCGTTTTTAAAAAATGTAAAAAAATATGTCAACGATTTTTCACGTTTTCTCCTAGTTACCCACGATATAAACAACAAGCGAAACGCCAGGGGCACGTGCAAAAGTGAGCGCCGGCCCTGGCGCCTGGAATGCGGGCGCGGCGAACGATTGGCCTGACGTTGTGTGCGTGCAGCAGTCCAGCAGCCAAGAGAGGCGAGAGGAGTGCAAACGGACAACCAGAGACGAGTACTTGCATGTGCGTTCGAGAGATGACTAACGTAATTGCAAGAAAAATGCACCAAACCAAAAAGAGAGAAGAAAAAAAATGGAAAAAAGGAAAGAAACAGCAAGAAAAAAAACTGGTCTTGGAGTGCGTGATGTTCAAGCATTCTCACCTGTCTCTAGGATCGATCCAGGTGGTTTTCCGCGTATTATGATCGATGAAGTACGTCTTTCCGTCAAAATCCTGGGCGACGTCCCACCCGTCCGGAAGTGGTATCTCCCCATTCCGTCTCCTTGGCATATTTCACTGCGCTCTAGATTCAGTACAAAACAGAGGGACATTGAGATACATTTAAATAATAAAACATCATTAATCAATTTGTCCTACTTGTGATCTCGTTGTTTATCGACTTTTTTAACAACTTAAACTTTTTTAACGACTTTTTTAACAACGTAAACTGAAATTATTCTTTTGTGAAGTGGGAGAGAACGTGTGGAAGATGCGTTTGAAATTCATTTTTTCATCACGCTGTGCCAAAAAGTAACTTTTTGACTTGAACATCCCTTTTCCACACATTGTGATGAAAAATATCGTTCGATACTCATGGGAAAAATGTTTTTTCACTCGTGGGATTATATCACTCGCCTTCGGCTCGTGCTTTTCCGCACTCGTATCGAAATATACTATTTTGAAACTACTGCTACGTTCACCTCGTGCCGAAAAGTACATTTTGGTTTACTCGTAAATTAAAAATAAACAAAAAGTTTTTTCGTTCAGTTGTAAACGAAAAAGAAACGAAGAAAATACGTCGATTTAACTCTTAGCTGAATTTTCGAGAAATATCTTCGAATCTAAGGGCGATAGCGAAATTGTCGTAATAACCTTTTCTGTAGAGCGAGTTCAGTACTACAAAAAAGGTTATGACAACAATTTTGCTATCTCCCTTAAATTTCGAGATATTCATCGAAAACTGGCTAACAGTCAAAATCGACTTGTACCCCATTATCGCTTCGCTACTCAATTCCGTCTCACTCATATCGAAATATACTATTTTGCTTGTTTTGTAAATATTTTGGAGCGAGGGCTTTAGAAAGATTCGTCAAGAGCCTTTTTGAAAATTGGGCAATTCTTTAGACTAATGGGAGAAATAGTAGAACCAACATTTTTGGTAAAAATAAACAATTGGTTGAAATAAACAATTTTTTTCTTATACACGGGATTTTGTGAGTTTTATTCTCGAATTTATAATGCACCTGTTGGAAGACTCTGAAAATAAACATAAAAAGAGAGAGCAATATGGAAAAATATATTGAACAAAAAGGCCAATGGAAATTCTAAAATTTCAAGTCCCGTAGGAAATTGGAGTATAATGGACAGCTTTGACTTTGTTTTTAATATTCGTTGATAGAAAGGATTAGTTATTGTTAAAAAAATGAATTTGATTGAAGGCTAGGATTCAACTGGACCAATTATTTGGTCATATTCAACTCTACCGTTTATTAATAGTTAACAATAACGAATCTCACTGGCAATAAATGAATCGTTGTATCAGTGTTCATAACTCAGAAACAAATTCATCAATTACCCTATGATTATGACAGAGGGAAACAATGAAACTCCATGAAAAAAAAATCATACAATTTTATAAACAATTCAATAATTCCTTGAAATTTCAGAAAGAGTCAAGTGTCCATGAAGCTGAAACTAGCAGAATATTCGTCAGTGGAAAATTCAATTTAGGGAATGTTTAAGTGTAGGAGAGTCAAATAATCATATGTACAAATGTTTTTCAAGTGCGAAAAAGTTTGTACATTACTTAAAAACATTTGTACACTCCTAGATTCGCCTAAGACAAATCTTCTGCTGTCGAATCATTCGATAGTTTCCGCTTCATCAAATGTCCATTCTTCCCCAATTACCCCTGACCTCATGCTCACATTCGGTCCATAGAGTCTATTTCATTTATGAATAATCAACTTGGATTGGTGAATTAAAATTTTGATGTCAAAATGATGGAGATAACTCTGTCTATCAGTTGAAAAAAAAATCATCGATTGCTTGAAGTTTTGTAAATCTAATGGTTTTAGGAATATTTGCAGAATGTTCTGTATGAAATTGATCTTTCGAAATTGTTCATTTCATCATGTCAGAAGACCATTTGTGGAGAGAAGAGTGAAAAGGTTGCAGGAGACATCTTTCCACATTTTTCGTCAAATCTGATAATTTTAGAGACATTCGTAACATAGTCGAATGAAGTTTTTTGATTCAAATCCTTTTTGTCAACAGTATTGTCACTATTTTACGAATAAAAACCTTTTCTAGTCATTTCAATTGGTGCACAAAAATTAATCTTGACACTTTCAGGTAAATGAAATCGTCTAATTGAATTCTTCGATTCATTTCCACAGCTAGAACGCATCGAGATAGAAATGCCAAAACAAGATTTTTGTCGGCAATTCTAAGGGCTGCGAACACTGAGAAAATTTTTTTCTAATATCCCAAACATATTTTCTTGAGACAAGTAAATTTACTTCAATTGCTTAATTCTCTCAGGCATCTCAACTCACATGACCCGAGAAAGGCCTCATGCTTTAAAATATTCTTGTACTCAAGTATGATTTTGTCGCAAATGAACTTAATTAAATTGCGTAGAAGAATCGTCAATCTTCTAGTTTTTATTGTTTTCATGATGTTTTCGTTATGCACTTTCAATATTGCAATATGTAAAATATTCATGACGTAACGCGGAACGATAGCAATGAATGAAAATTCATTCGAGTTCCGTGAAATGCACACATTCTGAGATTTAAGCCATTGAAAATAATTTACTTCTCTCAAGAAAATATGTTTCAGATATTAGAAATTTTTTTTCTCAGTGAAGAAGACCTGACATTTCTCTCAAAATCTGATAGTCTCAGAGATATTTGTAATGTGCAGCGACCGTCTTGTTCTCCTTTTTCACGAAACGAATTGTCTACAATTTCCAAAATATCTCTGGACCTGCAGGAGTAAAACTACAGAAAAATGTAAAAAATGTCAAGAGCCATAAAAAAGATTCCTCGACATTTATCTCTAAACCTAACAGCCCTTGATATTTTCAATCAAACAACCTAATATTTTCGTAATCATCTTCTGTTCTCCACCTCCTCACAACAGACTTCTGACTTTTATCTTCATTTCTCGACACGAGTAAATATTTAACTATCATCATCATTCCTGGAGTCTTTAACTTGTCAATTAATCCTATTGACTCTTTGAATTCCTGAGTTATTTGTCGTCCAAAATCCAATTCACTGAATCTAACATTCTAAAACTCTCCCAACAAAATTTAGCCTCTCATCTTGGAGCAATCAATAATCCAGTCATTTCTTCAGAGCAAAACCCTCAAATCTTTATCTAAAAATGTAAATGAATGAAAACTGAAGTAGCAAGAGTGAAAATTCCGACTGTCAAAAAATCCCTAAATTCTCAAAAATCTTCTCAATTCCACTCTTGCTACTCCGCCATCATGAATACCTCATTATCATGAGCGGAGTGACGTCAGAGTCCCCGCCTTCAGATTCCTCTAGAGCGGAATTCCACCGTTAACATTGCCGGGAGAAGAAGTCAACAGTGGAAAGGGGTACGGGGGAGAGGGGGGAAGCAGCAGCAGAAGAAGATGCGTGTCTGTTACCAGTTTTTTAAGATGTATATAAATATCACTGGACACGACCCAGGCACTGATCATGAAAAAAAAACAAATCTCCAGAGCTCACAAACTTTCAATTAACAAATCAATTAAAAATGCGCCTTCCAATAATTGAACAAATCCCAGTAATAAACTGCAACCGAAATATTTCTTCACTGAAACCACTCGTCAGGATATACTCAGTAAAAAAAAATCACTCACTTCACCACAACCTGTTTATCCATTCCCCAGAACTCCGAATAAATTCTCAAGTTTTATCCTTTCATTTATCAGTGAGTGCGTTATTCAAACTCTTCCCCAAACTCCCACATAAACTCCGTAAATCGCAGTTTGCTCTCCCCAACTGTTAACAACTACAAACAATTAAAACAGTCGTATTGAGCTGAAAAAGCTCCTGAAACCGTACTCCCGTGCACTGGATAAACTCGAAAAAGCTCTCTGAACCACTGCCACTCGGCGAACAATCACGTCAAATACGAATCTGCGAGCGTCTTTTCGAGCTGCCTGGCACACACTCACTGTCAGATTCTCAAAAAATCACTGGGTCCCCCGGTTCACCTCAATTATTTCGCCTCCTCGCCGAAAAATTTCGCAGCACAGAACAAATCACAAACCCGTGAAGCACAACACCGACCTGTCTCGTTTTCTTCCCTCTATTTTTTATGACAAAAAAAGTAATAATAAATGGTAGAGAGGTGCAAAAACGAGGAAAAGTCCCGTGAAAATGTAACGACACAGACAGTATTTAGTGTCTACTCGCCAGCAACGAGCATGCCGGGAGTTCGAGACATGCCTGAACGTTTCATGCCGTGGCGAGCGAGGCTCTTTCTCAACCCGCGCCCCCTCTCTCTCTCTTCAGCTTTTCCTACTTGGTTGGCACTGTCTCTCACTCTTGCACACCCGAGTCGAGTATTTTTTCCATCTCTATTCCACTCGTATGAAATAAACACACCGTTACGGTCGCTCTTCAACTGTATGGATAAAATACATCGTCGCCTCCTCCTCCTCCTGCGCCTCGTCTACCTCTCTCAGTCGTTCCCCCTCTCCACACACCCGCGACGTTTGGCGGTATCCCACTGTCACGTTTCCCCCACTGGTGGGGACAGTATAAGACGGTTTCTCGTGTCTCTGACCGCTGTGCACGAATGACGACGGCTACACGCGACGCGAACCGAAGGAAGGACTCGCGTTTGCCCTTTTCCCCGTGGTTTGCGTGTTTTCCGGGGGGTTTTGGGGGGAGCCACTGGACGAGCGGGAGTTTGGAATCGGGGAGGTGGTTGAGCGCGCGCAGGTGGATCGACTCGGGCTCGGGAGGGGGTGGCGACGCCACGACATCTCGCGGGGGAGAGCGCTGGCCAAGGAGGAATGTGGCGCGTGTCGGGGATTTTTTTGGAATTTTTTCGGATCGGGAATAGAGATGCGGAATGACCGTCATTTTTCCTTTCGGGCTGGTCGCACGTAAATTACCGGTTCTGAAGGTTTTCTCACTCTGAGCAAATTTTGTATGCAAAATTACCGGCACGGTTAAGCTCCGTCAGACGTGAGCGAAAATTATTAAAAATTGTCTATGTATATTGCTAGAAATTTTTTGAAATTTCGTGGAAGATATTGTAGTAAATCTCGGGGGAGTGACGTTGAATTGAATTTAGGGAGAAAATGGTTATGAAATTTCAAGTTTTGAGTAGAATTTTCAGTGAACATGAATATTCAGAAACAAAATTACATGAATTTTCAATTTTTCCCGGAGTTTTCCTGATTTTTCTGAATTTTCACAGAATAATTGAACTGAAAAATCAAGTATTTTACTGATTCCCAGATTGTTTGAACAGAAAATCAATGGAATAGTTGATTTTTCAATGACAAGATTTCCTAACATTTCAGTGGAACTTAAACACGATAAAAATTCCCGGTATTTCGCACGGAACAGTGTAGTTGCAAATTGGCCGTCATTTTTATTTCGGTCATTTTGCTTGTAGATAAGCATTCCACTGAAGAAAAAATAGCCGAAGGACAAGGGGGAAAAATCATAAAATCTCAGATTTCACCGAAAATTCAAGAAAATTCCAAAATTTTGAGAAGCATGAATCCCAAAATTCTTCAAGTTATTTGAATTTTCAATAAAAACATCAATATTCAGCGCCAAATTACTCTACATTTTCCAATAATTGAAAATTCAAGGATATGTTTAGCAGAATTTTTCGGTTTTCTTTTAATTTTCGTTAATAAAAAATTAATATCTATTAATTTTGGGACATCGAACAATCATCAATTATAAATTAAGTTAAATTTTGCATTAGTTGATAACTGGTTCATATTACCCAACAATATTGAGATTATTAAATTAACCATCACTTAAATATTCAAATTCCGAATCATTTTATAAATCAATAATTAAGTTCGGAAGATTGACGATTATATAGCTAATGGAAAATCCTTTTATGAAAGTTAGAAGTATTTACTCAATAGTTAATTGACAATTTCATATGGGCAATTACGTAATTCATTGTCAATTGAAAATTTAAATTATTAATTATTTTATTACTTTTGAAATTTCAGTGAACATAAGTTAATTATTGTAAAGTGGAAATTCTGATCATATTACTAAACTAATGATGGATGCCGATTCCTGTTCGGAGAGATGCGAACAAGTGATTATTTCAAAAGTCAGGGGAGATTGTTTTGGAATATCGTGGGGATGAAGGAGTTGGCGAAATTTGATGGAAATTTTTTTTTTTACAGAGGAATTTAAAATAGTATATTTCTATACGAGTACGTAAAGGTGTTTTTTAATACGCTCCGCGGGCACAAAATTGCATATTACGCACTAGTGATGAAAAAGGGCGTTTAACATTTTCTCGTACAATTACGTTTTTGGGGGATGATTAGCCACCTTTTTTCATTTTTCTTATGCATGACGTCAGAGCGGTAGAAGCGATTAAGGTAGGATCAACCCTTTTACTATGGGTTACAGTGTACCCGTTACGCCGCTTCACAGGGAAAAAAAGTTTTCATTTTCCGGAGCACGTCACTGATTTTCAGGAATATATTACGGAGGGTAGGGCAAAACCGACCTGGCGGACAAAACCGACCGCAGGGCAAAACGGACCACTGACAGAAAATTGATAATTTTTTTATTTTTTTGATAGTTTCAAAAATTCAAAATCATTTGTGGTTTGAGGTGATTAGCAAATCTGATCAAATTGTGGTTCAACGACACAATTCTTATCTATAAAAGCCCTGTGACGGTTATGATCCTGAAACTCACTTTTAATTCAACACATTCAGTGTTCCTGATTTGAAGGAAAGAAAAAAAAAATTACCAATTTTCTGTCAGTGGTGCGTTTTTCCCCGCGGTCCGTTTTGCCCCACCCTCCCCTACTGATTGCTAGGCACTTGTGAATTATTTTCAGGAATTGATCATCAATTATTAGAGATTCGCGATTGTGAAACTCAGTGATTGCAAAAATTCTGAAATTTGGTGATTTTGCCACCAATTTTCAGTGACATTATCACTGATTCCTAGTGATATCGTGATTGATTTCAGAGATATTATCACTAGCTTTTGTTACAATACGGTCGTTACGCTAAAAAATAATGTTCATCACTCCGCCGATTCGTTTTTCGAGTAAAAATTTTTCAAAGTACTTTTTTCGCATGATTTTTCCTCAGGAATCAGATTTTGAAGGCTAAAATGGTGTCCAACCGCTCAATATGAGAGTTTTGAGGTTTTTGTAACTGGAAATTAAACCTAAAAAATTCGGTAGGCGGAAAAAATAGACCAGGAAAAAATAGCCCACACACCCAAAACGTGCTAAAACCCACCCAACTAAAAAATTTCCCTTGGTCTCTTTTTTCCATGGTCTATTTTTTCCGGGATTCGAAAAATACGAATGGGTTGTTGTAAAACTTTATAAGCTACAAGAAATGTCTGCAGACATTCTTAGTGAACCTTTTTTGTTGATGATCTCAGAAAAGTAAAAACTCGTGGAAATGATAGGTAGATTAGATTACCGGGACCGCTTTCTTTACTTAAAAATTGCGTGAACGCAAACACTGGTTATCTTGCGAATATCTTAAAAATGAAGAATTTTTCATGAATTCATCCAACATTTTTTTGAGTTCAAACAAAGAGACAATCTTTTGACTTTCGCTAGTTCCGCAGTCACTTGGAAAGGAAATGAAAAAATTTCATTCCTCAATTTGTGTTTACGATTAAACCTTGAGAAATACAAACTCATGGAATTAATGAGCAGATTGCATTACCAGAAGTGTGCTTCCTTTATTCAAATTTTACTGATTCAGCAGTTTTCTAGAGTCCACAAAATTTAAGTGTCGATTACGTTGCCAAAACTTTGTAAATGAAAAGGTTTGGACGGATTCATCAGGTTGTAGGAATGTGTTCGACATTTTTTTGTTAAACCTTGTTTGTTGATAATCTTAAAAGAATGGAAACTCATGGAAGTGGTGGTTAGATTAGATTACCGGAACTGTTTTCTTTATTTGAATATGACTGACTCAACAAAATTCTTGAATCTGCAGAACTTGAGCTGAGATTATACCGCGCAAATCTTGGGCGTGAATAAGTTTTGATGAATTCATCACGAGATTTTTTCTGTCATTAGGCCCGATAAACCGCGGTTCTACCCTCGCTTCGCTCGGTTATCTTAAAATTCAGGCGATTTATTCGCGCAATGACATAAAATATTGTATGTCACACGGTGATAAAAGTATTATCTGACTCATGTGATTGTAAATTCGTTGTAAAAAAAATTGAAATCTATGTAGACTCTCGCCTTCGGCTCGGATTATAATAGTATATTGTGTTACTAGTGCGTAAAGTCTTCCACTTTTTCACACGCACGTGTAACACATCCGATTTTTTGCGGTACCTGCCGAGTTCACTGTTCGGACCAGTAGTGGGGGTAATGTGGTTGTTTCTGTGCACGAGTGCGTGAAGTTTAAGAGCGTGCGTAAAAGGAATTTTGAGTGCATAACTTTCAAAATAATCCAAGACCATTTCCATTTCTCCATTTCGATTTATGATTACATGTTGCAAAACAGACACTCGACAAATAAATGAGCAGATTGGGTTAGCGGAACTGTCGTCATTATTCCAACTCATCTAACACGATAAAATTCCAGATGCCATAATCCTTCTATTTTGAAATACCTGGGGATCATATGCCGATGGTAATTCGCAGAAGACTAGAGTCTGTTTTGACACTTTGAAACACGAGGTGATCATTGGAATTCAATTTAATCTTCCTTTCATGTATACAATAAGAGAATTAATACGATAATGGTATACTAAACATTTTTATGTATGGATGGAGCACGTGGCACAGCTAAAGTGTCGACAAGGATTGACGTAATTGTTATGGCTGATGCGTAACGCGCCAACGATAAAATTACGAGATGAGAGAGTATCATGTAATCGTTGTTTATTCGCTGGCCTCGTGTCCGATGCTGATGACCTCTCCAACTAATTGTCAATTTCAGAAGTATATTTTTATGGTCATCTATACTTTTCCGATGATGAGTCAAATTGTCTACCAAAATTACAATTTTGTTTCCGAAGGGAAGCACTGTATTCGTCAAATCCGAAATTTCCAATTTTCTGTGTCAGGACAACAAATTTTGTCTTCAGGAGTTCAAATATGCTATTTTTGGATCATGTATGTATGTGTGTATGTGATCCCAAGAGGATAGACCTATTCTCTTTGATGTGACCGATCGTTTTTCGACGATAACTGAAAGAAGAATTATTTGAAGGAATTCAATTGTAATTTAAAA